TCTCATATTTGGTACAGCATTGGCCGTTATATTGACCGTAGTGATTACAGCAAAAGCAGCACAAGACGAAAACCCTACAGGTTTGTTTAAATTCTTTATTAACCCTTCCAAATCGTGGCAATCACCGAAGGCTGACACGAAGATGTCCAGTCCGACAAATAGAAGCCCGCGGCTGACAACATTTTTATAGAATATCCTTACAGTTTAACTTAAGGTCGCCATCAGTAATATGATTTTCAATTGCGACGCTGGTTGCACTTAGCGCCAATTAGCACCACAATATTTGGCATCACAAACATATATTCGTTATAAAGTGATGTAGTATTGGGACTGGTTCCAGTCTTGATAACAAAAAAGTATGGATTTTTTGTGCTCGCGCTCTTTTAATCCTAGCTTCAGTTCAATCCACTCCTTTTCTCACCAAGTTCGTAGCACACATACGCGAACGATTTATTCAATCCCTCAATCATTGAAAATATGGAATTTGTTTTTTCCCAACCACTCAAGATTGCACAGGTGGATCTAAATAGTGCAGGTGGGTTAGGATGGGTAATCGACAGAAAGCTTATCGCGCGGCGAGAGGGCAGCAACGCAGACCGGTCAGCGGACGAGTTGCACCGCGTAAGGGGGCTATTTAGGGCCAGCTTAAATCAAATGTATCATATTATAATTAATGTGTTACGTCCTAAGCAAAATACGCTCTGCGACTCGTCCACCGAGCCGTCTGCGGCTCTGCCTTCTCGCCGTGCCACGGGCCTCCTGTCGTACGCCTGGTTGGATGAGCTGAACTTCGTCAGGCTTCAACCGTTAGAGCTGTGGCTTTCTCAAAGGTGGCGTATCAATTAATTAGTTCCAGAACGCGAGAGCTCCGGCGCCGGAATCAAATGTTTTGTTCTTTATGACCCAAGCGGCAATTACAGCGGAATTGGTGAAATCATCTACAACCCAAAAACGTCGTATCGTAATCAAGACTATCAAGGAACCAATGGGGGAAATTCCATCACATGGTTCCCTTTTTGACTTAAACCGCACTGATTTGCGGAAACGAAATGGATGTGCGGGGGTCCTGTATGGCGATAGTGGCTGTAAATTCGTCATCGATCGGAACGACATTGGTCCAAATGCGCGATTTTTTCAAAAAACGCGCCCAGCCACAAAGGGATCAAAAACATGTTGAATCCATATATTATTCTCTTATCGCATGATTTTGTCATTGTCAGATTAATCTTTACATGTTCAGCGACAACTTCGAGGCCACAATATCAACAGCAGAGCCTCTGAAAAACGGGAATCGACGTTCCGTCAACGAGAATGGCATCAACGGCACCGCCTGCGAAACCGACGTCGACGGAGTCGCCCTTGCGAATATCAAGCACAACCAAAATAGCGACAACAACTGCAACGGCCGCGACATCTACGACCACCTTGCCAAATTCTCGCACAGCTGCGCCGACTAAAACAACGACCTTGCCTAATTCTCTTACCAGTGGCCCAACACCAAAAACTTCTATTTTAACCAAAGCCCCTACATCAAGTGCCCCGACAACCACAATTCCATCGAGTTCGTCCAGAATTCCGACCTCCACAACTACTTTACTCATGCCTTCAACCACGTCATCATTTTCAACTAGGGCACCAACATCGACAACCACTGTTCCCACAAGTACTACCACAATGTCCTCTTCAACAGCCAGGTCAACTTCGTCTAGCGCTCCAACCAGCAGCACTCAGTCTCGACTTCGACAACCACCTCACCAACATCGACAACCACTGTTCCCACAAGTACTACCACAATGTCCTCTTCATCAACCACGTCATCAAGTTCGACTAGCGCGCCGACCAGTAGCACTTCGACAACCACCTTACCAACATCGACAACCACTGTTCCCACAAGTACTACCACAATGTCCTCTTCAACAGCCAGGTCAACTTCGTCTAGCGCTCCAACCAGCAGCACTCAGTCTTCGACTTCGACAACCACCTCACCAACATCGACAACCACTGTTCCCACAAGTACTACCACAATGTCCTCTTCATCAACCACGTCATCAAGTTCGACTAGCGCGCCGACCAGTAGCACTTCGACAACCACCTTACCAACATCGACAACCACTGTTCCCACAAGTACTACCACAATGTCCTCTTCAACAGCCAGGTCAACTTCGTCTAGCGCTCCAACCAGCAGCACTCAGTCTTCGACTTCGACAACCACCTCACCAACATCGACAACCACTGTTCCCACAAGTACTACCACAATGTCCTCTTCAACAACCACGTCATCAACTTCGACTAGCGCGCCGACCAGTAGCACTTCGACAACCACCTTACCAACATCGACAACCACTGTTCCCACAAGTACTACCACAATGTCCTCTTCAACAACCACGTCATCAAGTTCGACTAGCGCGCCGACCAGTAGCACTTCGACAACCACCTTACCAACATCGACAACCACTGTTCCCACAAGTACTACCACAATGTCCTCTTCAACAGCCAGGTCATCAAGTTCGACTAGCGCGCCGAACCAGTAGCACTTCGACAACCACCTTACCAACATCGACAACCACTGTTCCCACAAGTACTACCACAATGTCCTCTTCAACAACCAGGTCATCAACTTCGTCTAGCGCTCCAACCAGCAGCACTCAGTCTTCGACTTCGACAACCACCTCACCAACATCGACAACCACTCCCACACAGTACTACCACAATGTCCTCTTCATCAACCACGTCATCAACTTCGACTAGCGCGCCGACCAGTAGCACTTCGACAACCACCTTACCAACATCGACAACCACTGTTCCCACAAGTACTACCACAATGTCCTCTTCAACAGCCAGGTCATCAACTTCGTCTAGCGCTCCAACCAGCAGCACTCAGTCTTCGACTTCGACAACCACCTCACCAACATCGACAACCACTCCCACAAGTACTACCACAATGTCCTCTTCATCAACCACGTCATCAAGTTCGACTAGCGCGCCGACCAGTAGCACTTCGACAACCACCTTACCAACATCGACAACCACTGTTCCCACAAGTACTACCACAATGTCCTCTTCAACAACCACGAGCGCGCTAGTCGAAGTTGATGACGTGGTTGTTGAAGAGGACATTGTGGTAGTACTTGTGGGAACAGTGGTTGTCGATGTTGGTAAGGTGGTTGTCGAAGTGCTACTGGTCGGCGCGCTAGTCGAAGTTGATGACGTGGTTGTTGAAGAGGACATTGTGGTAGTACTTGTGGGAACAGTGGTTGTCGATGTTGGTAAGGTGGTTGTCGAAGTGCTACTGGTCGGCGCGCTAGTCGAAGTTGATGACGTGGTTGTTGAAGAGGACATTGTGGTAGTACTTGTGGGAACAGTGGTTGTCGATGTTGGTGAGGTGGTTGTCGAAGTCGAAGACTGAGTGCTGCTGGTCGGCGCGCTAGTCGAAGTTGATGACGTGGTTGTTGAAGAGGACATTGTGGTAGTACTTGTGGGAACAGTGGTTGTCGATGTTGGTAAGGTGGTTGTCGAAGTGCTACTGGTCGGCGCGCTAGTCGAACTTGATGACGTGGTTGTTGAAGAGGACATTGTGGTAGTACTTGTGGGAACAGTGGTTGTCGATGTTGGTGGGGTAGTTGTCGATGTTGGTAAGGTGGTTGTCGAAGTGCTACTGGTCGGCGCGCTAGTCGAAGTTGATGACGTGGTTGTTGAAGAGGACATTGTGGTAGTACTTGTGGGAACAGTGGTTGTCGATGTTGGTGAAGGTGGTTGTCGAAGTCGAAGACTGAGTGCTGCTGGTCGGCGCGCTAGTCGAAGTTGATGACGTGGTTGTTGAAGAGGACATTGTGGTAGTACTTGTGGGAACAGTGGTTGTCGATGTTGGTGCCCTAGTTGAAAATGATGACGTGGT